ATAGCGGTTACTAGATTTAGGTCAAAGTCAATAGTATAGTCCTATAGTTATATTTATAGAAAGTAGTCGAGTCACTCCAATAAGAAGTTAAGAAGATATAGGAGACGACAATTGTACTACTACTCTCGCTAGAAGTTATACTAGCTCCCTTAATTGCTCTAACCGCCGTAATTACGCCGGCTACCGCGCCGATTACTGCGATTGCTCTAGTCACTTCGATTATTCCAGCGATTATAATAATTCTCCCGAATACTCTAGTTAATACAATGCTAATATCCCTATTACTAATACCGAGTCTAGTACCAAACTCTCTAGCGCTTTTATTACCAGATCTATTATAGTATTAACCGTTAAATTTACTAATTAGAGAGATAATCGAGTATAACGACGACCTTCTTAATTTTAAAGATCTTAATAAAGAAGACCGTATACCCCGCGATTAACGCGACTAATGCGATTCTAATAAACTAATAGTCTATACTACTCTAGGCACCCCGCTACCCAATAATCTTTAACAACCTACTTTAGCCGTATAATTATTACCAATAGGTATGCCGAATCCCTCTTATATACGATAATACACCCTATCATTGGGATTACAAGTTAGTAGGTTGTAATTTTAATTAAATTCGGAGTAACAAACCTCGAATTCGGGCCCTATAATAAATCCGCTAGACCCTATAGGTCGATTATCTACTTAGGCGTAGCTAGGATAGGAAAGCTAGCCTTCTAGGTCTAATATATAGGTATTATACTTAGAGGTACTTAAAGGTAAACTTCGTTACTCTACGGCCAAACTACTAGACTTCAAATATAGTATTTAATAGGTAAAAGATAGCAATAGCAATATAGTTTAAGATTCGGTAATACTATTTAACAATTTCTACGGTATAGTAGAGGGATGTTTAGTAAGATGGACAATACTTATATATTGTTTTATTACTGTTAAAATTAATTATGATATAGTAAGCGTTGTTATTAGTAAAGTTCAACGATTTATCCTTAAGAATTACCGAGTTGTATGAAAGTAAAATAATTTCGAATTATATTAGTTGCCGGCTATAAAGAAGTAAGTTAAAGTACTCGAAGATAGGGGAGTTTATACCTTAGTCCCTAGATTACTAGATATAGAAATTCTACTTGGAAAATGGGTATACAACAAGAAGTACGATATCAATACTAAAGATTGGAAAGCCAGAACTAAATAGGTAGTGTATAGAAATTTCGAATAAAGTAATTAGGCGGTATAAGAGATTTACGTAGTGGTAGTATACTCTATTAATATTAGACTATTCTTACTTACTTTAACTATAAACGATTACGAGTATTATGAGTTCGATTTTAATATTACTTTCTTAAATACTTCTATCCCTAACGATACTTAGTATTATATTGAATAACCAACAGTTCTCGAAAAGGCAATACCCGGTTATAGTAAAGAAGACGTAGTTTACTAGTTTACTAAAGCTCTTTATAGTCTTAAACGTTCCCTATTTTATTAATTTAATACCTTCGTACTAATATTTAAAGAAGCTAGCTTTATCCTAATTTTTACAAATTCTTACCTACTTACTAATAAAGTACTAGGAGCGTTATTAATCCTCTACGTTAACGACCTTTTCGTTATTGCGCTAATTATAATTATTATTAATTAAATTAAAAATTAATTAATTAACTATTTTAAATTCAAAGAATTGGAATAAGTACGTACATTTCTGGGTTATAATATTATAAAGGACCGTTAGACTCGTATACTCTTTATATTCTAATAATAGTATACTAAATTAATTATCGTTAAGTATAACGATAGTAAGCTTTACGAAATTAGAATATTATAGTTATTAGACTTTAAGATCTATAGGGGTAATAATATATTACTAGGGGAAATTCAATTTTACCTTAAGAAGATTAGCTTATTAAATTAAATTTTAATAAACACCCGGCTAGATATTTCCTTTACTATTAATAAATTATCGGAGGGTATTAAGAAACCAATCGACTGTTATTTTATTATTATAAAGTATTTATAATAGTATTTATCTAAGTACCCCAATTTAAGTATTAAACTAAGAGGAATACTCTCGCCGTTAATAGCCCTAACCTTCTATATGTATATAAACGCCTCCTTTACCAACAATATCCCTACAAGGAAGAGTATAGCTAGCCACATTATATTCTTTATCTATAGCCCCGTCCTTTAAAAGTCTAAACGATAGGATTTTGTTACAATTAATATAGCCGAGGTAGAGTTTACTAATTTAGTGCCTACAGTGAAGGCTCTCGATTAGGTTAGTAGTATATTTAAAAATTTGAATATGAATTTGGGTCTTTATAAAATCAATAGGATTCTCTATACGGATAGCAATACCGCCAAAGACCGGATCCTCAACTCCAATTTACCGGCTAAAAATCAATATATCGCTATACAATATAAATAGTTAATCTAAGAGGTAAATAGGAAGGCGTTTACAATAAAATATTTGCTAGGTAATAAAATACCGGCTAACAGATTAACGAAGCCGTTGAAGCCGGATAAATACGTAAGATTTATTAAGTTGATCGGTATAGTTCAAAAGAAGGTTCCCTAGGCTTAATCAACACTATAAAAGATATTACAATATAAATAGTATAGAGGTTTAAATACTATTTTTGCGGTCTTCCAGTCTATAGGGGTATATTGGTGGGTCCCGGGTATTCACTGGGCTAGGCACAGCCCAGTCCCCACTCTGTGCCCTGTCCAGACCGTACCACATCTAGCCTTCCAGACTCCGCCAGTCTCCCTCTCTCTCTCTCTCCATAGCACACTCAATCAATCGTATCCAACCGCTTGATCTCGTTGGTGATCTCACATAAATTCAACTTCCCTAATACTTATAATTATTATAAAATAATTGAGAATGTAGGGTACTCCTACCGATTAGAGTTTTTAAATAGCTAGAAGGATTTAAATCTCTTCTATATTAACTACTTAAAGATGTATAACAATAATTTATTACCTGGTTAATTGGTTGAATACTTTAATTTATTTACTAATGATAATGAAAATTCTGAATAGGAAGTTGAAATGATAAATATCTTTAAAGTAGTTAATGGTGAATTCTTTAATAATATGAATTAGAGAGGCTAGGACTCCGATTTAAAGTATTAGTCCGCTTCTAATTTTAAATACGCTTTGAAATTCCTTTAGGAATTCTATAAAGCTAACCCGGATACTCTAGGCCCGCTTAAACGGTTAATAAACTAATTAAACAAAGAATAGGAGGAATACGAGGAGGATATAATATTGGAATTATTAGGACTAAAGTACTTACGAAGGATTTTATATAAATGAGCCCTTAGTTTAGTAAGATTCGAGGACGAGTCTTTTATATAGGGAGGGGTAATATAATAGTACCGGTCCAGCTATACACGTTATACCCCTATAGGAGGACTGGTATTATAAAGTACTATAAGGTGTTACGAATGTTGGAGGAACGAGTAATATAGAAGGTTCGCGTTAAGGCTAGCCTAAATAGGTATTAAGCCTATTAAAGGTATTTACTTTTATTTATTATATAAGTAAAGGGGGATGCGAGTAAAGGGATTAACTGTTCGTAACCCGCATATAGGTCCCGCTGTCGCTTGCGTACTAGGGTATTTATTTAGGTTTACAACGTATGTACCTAATTCTCTTCTTTTTCTTCTCCTCACCTAAAATCTTCTATTATGGATGGTATTATAGCCTTGCCTTCAATTTCCCCATCCTGTGCCCTTGTATGAACCTCTATGTAAATTAGGTATATATTAAAATATATTTCTAATTCTTAATAAACTCTATCAGGACTTTAAATATTGAACAATTCTAGTCCACAACGATAGGGATATTATAAGATCAATTCAACTCTATACTATTTTCTATACTTGGTATTATTATTGGATTTATGAATAGGATAATAATTAAGTACTCGCTTCTTAGTACAGTCTCTAAAACGTTAGTTAATGATAATATTGAACCGAGTAAGCTACTTAAAGTAAGTAATATTTTTCATATTATTGAAACGTAAGAGATATTTAGTATATTAACTGCGAATTATACCGGTTAACCTTATTTAACAAGCACGCTTCAATTAAGTAATTTATTTAAATGATAATAATCTACATTAATAATTTTACAAGTATTATGATTAAAGGGGAAAGTAGAAAGTAAGTAATTAATTTCCTAAACCGATTAATTGTATTTAGTAATTAGCTAGTTCATTATTTTTACTACAAAGGAGACTACGGGGTTGTTAGAAGCAACCTAGGGGGTAATTAATTAAATAAATTCCTTGTAAGTCCGTAATTACTTTTCTGCTTTTAAATAGTATTTGGTAATATAGCTAATAATAGTATTATAATTAGTACATAGCTAAATATCCATATTGGCACGCTATATTAGGATAATAGTCCGGTTGTAATTGTTGATATGCTTATTATTCCTTACCCTATCGTATAATTAATACTTTAGGTTGAGATTGCGTATAAGGTATGTTTACGGATAGTAATTCCTAGGAAAGTAAAAGTAGTATACCTTAAATACTAGATCCCTGGGGCGGATAGCACTTTAATTAAGCTGTTTAATACGAAGGTAATGATTGTCGGTATACCGGTTATATCGTTATATCCGATTAACTATATAGGATAGGAGGTTAAAAGTAGGTAGGTATATACTTTTATCTTCCGGGCTATGACTAATAATAATAGATAGAGGATCTCCTTCACCTTATTGGCTAATTCTTTCCGGTTTTGGGTTGAGGGCGGTTATATAAAAGTCTTATAGATTTATAAACTCCTTCCGGACAATTTCATTATTCAAATTAGGCGTATTAATATACGGAACTTAATAGATACTATAGTTACTCGTCAGGTCTTTAAAACCGACCGTCTGACTAGTGGGCGAGCTACTAGTTAGGGACAGCGATTCGTACATGAACAGCGACTCGTACCGGGAACTGGGGGTACCTCCCCACACCGCTATTTTGCTAGCAAATCAATATAAATCTGTTTAATAGTATATTTTTTAAAGTAAACCTCGGCGCACCCACCCCAAAACCTACGCGCACCCAAATACCAGGAAATGTGGGACCGTGCAGCTGATGACACCTGACATTGAAATTCCCGTTTTGGCCAGCTAAATTTCGTCTCTTCAGTGCACGCAACATTGCTGCAAACTTGGTCATTTCTTTCACGCTTTTTTCACACGTCGCATACCACACCAGCTCAATACTACACCCTTAACGTATGTAATCTCGCTCAAATCAATTGATCTTAATCGTCTGCAAATAAATTGCATTTAATCCGAACCGTTGCTAGGGGTTAACATAGCTGTAGTGGGTGACCCAGCTAGCAAATTTGACCAAGGTAACAAAACGAGCAAAAACACGGCTAAGATACGATAATTTCAATAACAGTTGCAAATTGGGTTTTTGGGTGCGCGTAGGTTTTGGGGTGGGTGCGCCGAGGTTTACTCATTTCTTAGTTGCATGCAGCCCAATTGCTCGCACTGCCCAATACTCTGAAGGTGCACTCATTTACGCTTATTTGCACCCAAACCGCGTATACTCTAAAATACCTACTTAAAGCAATAATATCAATAATTATATTCATATTTATGTGCAATTAGTCTTAATTATACTTAACCCCCCTTGTTCAATCCCTCTATCTCTCTATCTCCCCATTTCCCTATCCTCTTATTGTAATATCCCTAGTTACCGTGCTATACTTCGTCGACCTTATAAATCCGCTAGTAGCTCCTTTAGTATTAATCCAACGCTTATTAACTTAACTTCTAATATTTAGGATACTATTAGTAATACTTAAGAGACGCTCTCTGTAGAAAGTAGAATTTAGGCGGCCGTAAAGGTATTTTAGAATAATGGATTTAAGACTATAGTAGATGGAGCGAAGGTATTTCGAACTCTATATAAAGAAATCGTAAGCTGCTATAAAGGAGCATAGCCGAAGGTAGGCTATAGGGGTAAAAATAAATTATTAATAGAAGAGGAGGATTTAATACTATAGGTATAGGTTAATATATAAATATTAATTAATTAGTAGTATTACTATTCTAATACCTTACAAACAAGGCTAATCGGGGATATTAAGTATCGAAATTATACTAGCGAAGTTTACTACTACTATAATTACTATTATTAGACTTAACCGTAATAATAGTAATAATAACGGTAGTAATAAGCCTATACCTAAAATTACTACTTATTAGGTACAATAATATTTATAACGAGGAGACTTTTATAGTATACGTACGAAGTCTATAGTATAAGTTTGTAAAACTTTATAGATTCGAACCGATAGTGAAGAAATCTTCTACCTCTTTTATAATACTATAATTAAGTATAAAGTTACTAAGGATAACTTTTAGAATAGTAACAAATCTAAATTTAGAATTGGGGTATTAAATAAGATATATTATATATAGACTTATTATAAGAAAATGAAAGTATAATCTATTAATCCTAATTAAGGAATTCTTATTACCGTCCTTGAGGCCATTTCGGTATCTAGTCGTACTATACCTACTTTTATCCTACTCCCTAATATCAATATTATATATAAATATATTAATAACTCTCTTAATAATAGGATAATTATTATTACTTAGCTACGAAATTATATAGATGACTAATATACGTTAAATTAATTCAAGTACCAAGAAGAGTACTTATAGCCTATTAATAAAGAGGAGAGGAGAGTCTTAATATTAAATAACTATAGTAGTTACTATACAATCGAATTTTATAAACTATATAAAGAGAATTATATTATATTATTCCTCCTCTCCCCTTATTTTACTTATTTCCTCTAACCTTTTGACGTTGGAATATTTCAAATTTATAAGCACTTCTATTAAATTAATATAAAAAGAAAGATAGCATTCAATAACGTCGATTTCAATAAGTTAGACTTTCTTAATAGCCTTGAATAAACTCGAAAGAAGGTCTTTAAGACTAAGAATATCCAATTTCTTTAGAAACGAACCGGCTTAGCTCCCTTTAATTCTAATCTTATATTTTTTAACCTTCGTAATTTCTTAACCTTATTAAGAAATAATAAGTATATTAAATAGAGAAAGGGATATATCGCGTGCTTTACCGATTAGAGGATTAGTGTCCTTAGGTTGGAAAAAGAATAAACTATACTTTATATACTAAGAGAGCTTTCGAACGAGGCTACTATTCCGAGCAGCCCCCCTATTACAATTAATCTCCCTATCCCTATACTAAGAGAGCTCCCATCCATACTATCTACACTAAAGGGGAAAGGCCATACTGTAATAGACTAGAGTAGTACAATTATACTAGTATTTAACCTCCCTTCTATTAAAGAGTATAGTAACTATATTAATTAACGAATTTTATTTGTATTTAAGGGTAATTATACTATATTACTAATAGTTTTATACGTACTTACTAAGCGAAGATAGGCTACTAATACTCTCAGTTTAATTGCTATAAGAGGTTAAATTTAAGTGTAAACGTAAAGAAGAAGTAGTTGAAGAAATACTATGTAATTTTTGCAATATTAACCATTTACTAAAATATAGCGGTACTATTATTATTAGAGACGGCTAGTTACGCGCTATAATGGATAAATACCAATGTATTACTCTTATTAAGAAGAAAAACGAATATATATATGATTGTGAGCTTTAATAAGAGCAAAGTGCGTTAAAGGGGTAAATTAGTAGCTTTATTACTATATAAAAAGCATAGATAGTAGGTGAGTATCTATAGTTATATATATTCAAAACTCTTAGAAGGGAAATTTAAGAGTATATTAAACTATATACTATACGGTTCTTTAATTTTAACTAGCTAATTAGTAAATACTGTAAAGAGAGAGTTAACCGTTAGAATTACTACTTTTTAGAGAAGTAAAAGGCTATAGATAAGGAGATTAAACGGTTGAGATCTAACCATACTTGTATTATATATAACGTTATTCTACCCTTATATTAGTAGCTATTCGGTAATCCCTCTAAGCTACGTACTCTATAACTATTTAATAAGGTAAGAAAAAAGGTAATAAATAATACAATTAACGTATAATTAAGAGTTAACCTCCCCGCACGCACCAAAAACCTTGAGGTACGCACCTCCACCAAAAAACTGGGGCGGTTCAGCTGATGACACCTGACATTGAAATTTCCGTTTTTACCCGCTAAATTTCGTATTTCTAATGCGCGTCAACATTCCCCTAAGTTGGTCGTTTCTTTTACGCTCTTTCAACACGGCGGCCAATTGCACCACCCAATTGCACTTGGCGCTGTTAGATTGGCGCTGTTATATTTGCTTGCCTGCTGAAGACCAAGATGTCCAGTGTATAACCTGGGTTGACCCACCTCGAGACATTACAAATCGCGAATATTACGGCCAAAATAACACATTTTTCATGTTAGCTGCCAGATCCCAAAAGGTGAGTATCTCAAGGTTTTTGGTGCGTGCGGGGAGGTTAACTCATAATTAACTAATAAAGGTAATATCCTACTTACAAAGGAGGAAGAGGTTAAGGTTATTAAAGATAATGAGCTAGTAAATGTATAAAGAGATTTAGACTAGTGGCATCCTGATGATAGACGGTAGGTACAAATAGATTAAGAAAACGAAGAATATAAGGAGTATAATAATAAAGTTATTTACAATAACGACGACGATAATAATAAGGAGGAGGAGGGATATAGAGATTCTAATTACAAAGAGGTTGAATGTGATTTCTAGTATAAATAATCTATATTACCAAATTTATACGTATACAAAATGATAATAATTTTACGTATCAGTGTATGTGCTGGTCTTGTTAGCGATAATGGATGCGATTAAAAAATATGGATATATTACTAAATGAAATTATTAGCTCTGGATGTACGACTTCTATTTGCTAGTTAAAATGCGTGTGGAGTAAGTACCCCGCTCGGTACGAATCGCTGTTTATGTACGAATCGCTGTCCCTAACTAGTGGCTCGCCTACTAGTTAGACGGTCGGTTTTGAAGACCTGACGAGTATAACCGCTTCTTCGTACTTAGAACTCAATATGGTACTACTAATATTTGATTTTGAATTTGGGTATTAAAATATACTTCCTAAATAATTCGAATCGTTTTTAAAGGTAGTAGGCGGCGATATAAGGGTTTTCTTTTGAGTTCTTTCTTATACTTCTAATCCAAACGTTTATAAAACTAGCTTTTTACTCCTTGTAATTAGGTATATATTAAACGAGGCTTTCCCAATGAGTATTAGTAATATTAAATATTATAAATATTGTTAGTATATCTAATACTTGAATATAAGTACGAAGTTTACGGCTTTTGCGCATCCAATATAGCCGTATACTCCGTATAGAGAGTAAGCGAACCTAATAACGGAATTTAGTAGATTTTATACCTCTAGAACATCGAATTTAATAGCTTCCCTTAATATTTCAACGCTAACTAAATTATTTATACTACCACGACTTGAACGTACGAAGAAATAGTTCTTTATAGTAGCCTATTTATATATTAATATATTGAAGACGATGAAAGGGAATTAGTAATATCTAATAAACCGGATATTATACTATTTAATTATATACTTTGTATATCTATTCAAGTCGATCGACCGTATACAGGGTTTAATAAAGTTAGCTTTCCTATTAGAATAAAGAATTGGGAATACTGATAATAAAATACGTTGAGATCTATCCTATTCCTCTATTAGGGTATTCCGCAATAGGCCGGGTTTAATAAAAGGTTAAGCTAGAGGGTGCTAGTCGGGGGCAGGTTGAACCGGTATATTACCCAGTCCTTAAATAGGTTGTTCTCCCCTTAATTATTAATAAAACTATTCTATATCTACCTAATTAGCTATAAAGTTAGGAAGTATTACGACTTTGAACTGAAAAGTATTATTATTTTTATCTTTTCTTTTCTTTGAGATTAAGATCCTGGTCATCCGGGAAATGATTAGGGTCGAGCTTATAAACTATTAAGTTATTATATATATTACCGTTGGGAAGTGCTACCAATTCTTGGAACCGGGCGTCGATAATCTGAATATTTTAATATTTAGGGTAATTAATTTTTAGGTAGTTGAGCTAGATACGAAGCTTATTTAGGATAACAATTATAACCCATCTTATTCGTCGGGCGATATAGGGTTTATTTCTAATTCTATAAGGCCG